CCCTCATCTCCGGCAGAAGTTTTCCAGACACGTTACCAGGGAAATATTTGGGCTTGACGTTAATTGTCACATGTGAGAAGCCACTGGAACACCCCGGGGGGGCCTGGGACATGTTTCCCACCACACACTGGCCCTGGCACCGTGGGGTTTGCTCCAGGGGGGACAGATGGACACACACACAGTGACCAGCTGAGCTCAGAGGGACCAGGACTGTGGCTGTGCTGGTGTGGAGGGACACAGGACTCAGCACCCATGGTGAGTGGCTCTTTCCCCTCAAGGGGCTGAGTTGGTTTTCACTCCCCCCCAGCTTGGATGGGGATGATTTGCCCCAGTTAGAGAGGTTTGGGGGGTTGTTATTGAGACACCTCTCTGAGCACCCATGACAAGTGGCACTTCCCCAAGGGACTGAGATGGTTTTCCCTCACCCCCAGCTTGGATGGGGATGACTTTCCCCAGCTGTAGGGATTTGGGGGCCTGTGTTGAGGCACCTCTCTGTGAGGGGACAGCAGAGTGGCCTCAGTGCCATGCTGAAGGTGCTGTGAGCAGCCCTGAGGGGTGGGAGGTCATGTCAGCCCCTCAGTGTGTGTGTGAGGGTGCTGTGCCTCGTCCTCCTCACAGAGCTCCTACTCCAGGCAGTAAAAATAGCTCTGGCTGAGCCTGCAGACACCCTGCAGGAGCTGCTTGGCACTGTGTGGGCTGCAGTTTGGTGTTTTGGGGTCTGCTGTCGTGACTCCTCCATGACCAAGCTTGTCCTCAGGGTCGGTGAATGCTGCTGGCTCTGCTGCTCCTGCTCGTGGTGCTGCTGCTCGTTTGGGCCACAATGTCCAAACCTCAGTGCCAGGAGAAGCTGGAGAAGCCTCCAGGGGAGCAGCCAGTGGCTCCCAGCACAGCCAAACCCCCAGCCTGGCCGAGCCCCCCAGTGCCCAAGGCAGTGCTGGGGGAGCAGGAGCAGCTGGCAGTGTACAACCCCTCGGCTCTGCGGAGACCAGCGCTGGCCAAGTTCGTCCTGGGCTCCTTCGACGACAACTCCTCTGATGATGAGCTGGTGGCCACAGCCTTCAGGGTGGGCAGAAGGCGCAGCAGCCTGGCTGGGGTGGGGGGCACCATCCCCGAGCCCCCCGTGGCCACCGCCGCGCTGGAGAACACCACGGGCATCAGGTATGGGCTGGGTGCACAGGCTGGGGAGGGTGGGTGCTCTTGGTGTGTGCTTTGCTTGCTAAAATTGGGGTGCACAGGGTTCTTGGAGCCCCAAGCACCAGGGAGGTGGTGGGGTCACCATCCCTGGAGGGGTTTAGGAGGTGTGTGGATCTGGTGCTGGAGGAGATGGTTTAGGGGTTATAGCAGTGATAGGTTAAGGGTTGGACTCAGAGGTTTCTTCCAACTTTGATGATTGTATGGTTTCTGATTCTATCATCCTAGAGCACATCCTCCACCTCGTGCCCTTTAGACTGCCCAGGGAGGTGGTGGTGTCACCATCCCTGGAGGTGTTTAAGAGGTGTCTGGATCTGGTGCTGGAGGAGATGGTTTAGGGGTTGCAGCAGTGACAGGTTAAGGATTGGACTTGATGCTCTTAGAGGTCTCCTCTAACCCTGATGACCCATGATTCTATCTGAGTCTTGAGAAGAGGCTCAGGGGTGACTTTATGGCTCTCTACAACCACCCGACAGGGGGTCGTGGAGAGGTGGGGAAGGGGTTTTGATAAGGGACAGAACAAGGGGGGATGGCTTTAAGCTGAAGGAAGTTATGTTTAGATGGGATATGAGGAAGGAATTGTTCCCTGTGAGGTGCTGAGGCACTGGAATGGATTTTTCAGAGCAGCTGTGGCTACTCCATCCCTGGGAGTGTTCCAGGTCAGGTTGGATGGGGCTTGGAGCAACCTGGGCTAGTGGAAGGTGTCCCTGCCCATGGCATGGGGTGGAACAAGATGAGTTTTAGGTCCCTTCCAACCCAAACCATCCTGTGAGTCTATGCAAATAGCTCTCTGGTGTTTTGGTGATGAACTGATGAGATATAGATGAGTTTGGGCAATTTCACAGCAACTTTTCCCAGCTCTGGCAGGGCTGGGGCAGCTCCTGCACCAGGCAACTCCCCTGAGAGCACAGCTGACAGGCAGCAGAAACAACTGGAAGTCAAGTGCTGCTGCTCAGCTCCTTCTGCTGCTCCTTGCTGGATAAAAATAACAAGTGGCTGGGGGGGCTGGTCCTTCTTCTATTATTTATAGCTCATCCAGGGAATAATACTGAAATATCTGGCTATGAAGGAAGATGTCAACCTGCTAATTAAGATTAAGTGGTGCTTAAAACTCTGGGCAGATCCATGGGAAGGCCCAAGCCAAGAGATGTGTGTTTGTGAGCTTGTGCTGTGGGGTTTGTAACACTCTCTGTTCACCCCAAACTATTTGGTCCATGTTACTCAGCCAATAACTTCCTCTGTGTTGTTTAGTGGGTATCAAATGTCCCTGGGGAGATCCCAACATGTGACAGGGAGCTGGGAGTGGGGACAGTGTATCCCAATGTTCCCTGGGTGTGTTGGCAGTGTGAAGGGTTTATTGCTTTCCTCGGTGGAGGGAGCACAGTGTGGACCCCAGTGCCTGCTGCTACAGGCAGGATCCCACCCCAGGGCAGCAGGAGCTGGAGGCAGCACATGGGGCTCCCCGGGGTGGCTGTGGGCTCCCTGGGGTGGTTGTAGGCTTGCCAATGTGGTTGTGAGCTCACTGGTGTGGCTGTTGGCTCATGGATGTTGTGCACTCACTGGTGTGTCTGTGAGCTTGCTGACACGGTTGTGGGCTTACTGGTGTGGCTCTGGGCTCACCCGTGTGGCTCTGGGCTCACTGGTGGCCTCACATCTCTCCCAGACCCAGCATGTCTGGGCTGCACCTGGCGAGGAGGAGCCGTGAGCACAGGAAGATGGACCTGCAACGAGACTTCTCCGTGGCCTCCCCAGCAGAGTTCGTCACCCGCTTCGGGGGCAACCGTGTCATCGAGAAGGTCTCTCCACACTCACCCCTGCTCTGCCTGGGCTGGGGAGGTCCTTGCTTTCAACCCTTGAGGTTGACCCAGTGTCCTGTGTGCACTGGGCTTGGACTGATGGTAGCCCAGGGTGATGCAGAGCTGTCCCATGGCTTCACCTGCACTCATCATCTGGAAGAGGGAACCCCCCCAATGGCTTTGCCTGGTGGGGCACAAACAATGGCCAAACTTCCATCCTTAGTTATCCCCAGACACCAGAGATGATGTTGAGAATCCTCCTGCTCTGCCAGGATGTACAACCAGCTGTCGGGAAGCACTTGGTTAACACCTCCACCCTGCTTTGCTCATCCCTATGCTGCCATCCCTTGGGGCTGCACACCCAGGGCTTCACCCCAGCAGCAAGGAGAGGTTTCAGGCTGATGCCCCTGTCCCCCCAGGTCCTCATTGCCAACAATGGCATTGCTGCAGTGAAGTGCATGCGCTCCATCCGCCGCTGGGCCTACGAGATGTTCCGCAACGAGCGCGCCATCCGCTTCGTGGTCATGGTCACCCCCGAGGACCTCAAGGCTAATGCAGGTAACTCCTCAAAGCAACCCATGAGGGAAGTTCTCTGCCTTGGGCTGAGGTGAGACAGCCCTTTCTTGCTTGAGATGCACAGTCTGGAGTCACACACTTCCCTCCTGCGCAGCCAAATCTAGGAGTAAATAATTTCCCCCCTCCATCCTCCTTGGGGTGGAGGATTTGGGGAGGAGGTGCAGCTTGTGGGACTGTGTCCCACCACCATGTGCTGTCTTGCAGAGTACATCAAGATGGCAGATCACTATGTGCCTGTCCCTGGGGGAACCAACAACAACAACTATGCCAACGTGGAGCTGATTGTGGACATTTCCAAGCGGATCCCAGTCCAGGTATTGTGCTCTTTGCTGAGGGAAGGTGCTGGGCAGAGGGGACACCCTGAAACAGGGTGATGGTTGTGTGTGTGGAGGAGCTGGGCATGGTGTGTGGCTCATGGGAGATGCCAGTAATGCTCCCACTGCTCCTTCTCCCCGTGCCAGGCGGTGTGGGCTGGCTGGGGACATGCCTCAGAGAACCCCAAGCTGCCAGAGCTGCTGCAGAAAAACGGGATAGCTTTCCTAGGTAAGGTCTGGCTGCTTCCCTGTGCCAGAGGGAGCAGTGGGAATTGGGCTGGTGAGTGCACACATGCTCAGTGCCAGGGATGCTGCACTGGGAATGTGCCTTTGGTGCTTCTGGTGTGCCCACCCTGCAGTCACCAGGGTGGTTCCCTGGAGCATTCCCAGGAATCCTGCTGATTTCTGGGTTTTCCCTGTAATGCTCATGCTGATGCAGCATTCACAGAGGAACTTTGGGTGGGAGCAGACCTAGTGGGGTCTAGGGATAGCCTGAGCTTCCCTCAGAGAAGGGTCAAGCTCCATCCTGAGCTGGGAGTTTTGGGGAGTTCCTGCACCCTCACTCCTGGCAGAAGGGCTGATGGTGCTGGCTCATGGATGTCACAGCTCCCTGCAACATCCATGGGATGGGAACAGGCTGGTGGGTCAGGCTGGCTCCCCTCACCCCTTCCCTCTCTCTCCAAAGGTCCCCCCAGTGATGCCATGTGGGCTCTGGGGGACAAAGTGGCCTCTACCATCGTGGCTCAGACGCTGCAGATCCCCACTCTGCCGTGGAGTGGGAGTGGTCACATTCCCCTCCTCCCTGCCTCTCCTTCCCCCCACATTCCCCTCCTCCCTGCCTCTCCTTCCCCCCACATTCCCCTCCTCCCTGCCTCTCCTTCCCCCCACATTCCCCTCCTCCCTGCCTCTCCTTCCCCCCACATTCCCCTCCTCCCTGCCTCTCCTTCCCCTGCAAAGCAAGCACCAGGGTTGGGGTTCCCGTCCTGGCTGGTTTGGACAGAGGTGTTTTGGAGATGAGGTGCATGGAAACAGAGGAAATAGTGTGTGCCAACACAGAATTCCCAGCTCCCTGGGCACTCGCCAGGATGCCACCCCAGCCATGCCACCCTGGTGGTGACCACAGCCCTGGCCATGCCCCCAGGTCTAGTGGCCCAGTGGTCTGAGGAGGATGAGAAGAATCAGCAGACCATCACCATCCCCCTGGAGACTTATGCACAGGGTTGTGTGAAGGACTTGGAGGAAGGCCTGGAGGTAAAGCTGAGCCCATGGGTAGCTGGTTGTCTTTAGCCCACGACGATTTCTCCTTGGAGACTGCCTGCCCTGGCCCTTCTGGCCTCTCTGCACATGTGATAGTGCCATCTGAGGAGGATGAGAAGAATCAGCAGACCATCACCATCCCCCTGGAGACTTATGCACAGGGTTGTGTGAAGGACTTGGAGGAAGGCCTGGAGGTAAAGCTGAGCCCATGGGTAGCTGGTTGTCTTTAGCCCACGACGATTTCTCCTTGGAGACTGCCTGCCCTGGCCCTTCTGGCCTCTCTGCACATGTGATAGTGCCACTGTGTCAGTGCAGTTTGTCCCTCTGCATGGATGTGGCTTGGGGAAGTCCTGCTCAGGGATGCTCTGTGGGCTGTCAGGGTGATGGGTTAGGGTCCAAAGCCAAGGTTCCAGCCCTTTCCCCACCTCAGGTGGCCACGAAGATCGGCTACCCACTGATGATCAAGGCAGCAGAAGGTGGTGGGGGCAAAGGCATCCGAAAGGTGGAGGCAGCAGAGGAATTTGGTGCCTGTTACCGGCAGGTAAGAGGTGCCAGAACTCCCATCCCTGTCCCCATGCCACCCTGGGGCACACAGCAGTGTCCTGCTGCCAGCTGGGGCATCTCCTGAGCTCTGCCTCCATCCTGGGATGAATTTCCCCCTCTTCCCTGCTGCAGGTGCAGGCAGAGGCTCCTGGATCCCCCATCTTCCTGATGCAGCTGGCACAGCATGCACGGCACCTGGAGGTGCAAGTGTTGGCTGATGAGTATGGCAATGCCATCTCCCTCTTTGGCCGTGACTGCTCCATCCAGCGTCGGCACCAGAAGATCATCGAGGAGGCTCCGAACACCATCGCAGCCCCTGCTGTCACCGAGGTCATGGAGCAGGTGGGTGACCTGGGCTTGGGGCAGCAGGAGGTTTTGTGAGCAACTGGTGTGGTCTTTGCTGGATTGGTTGGGGTTTGAAGGAAGGGAGGGAGCCCCTGGTCTTGGGTTTAGTGAGGAACTGGTCTGGACCTTGCTGGGATTATTGGGGCTTTAAGGAAGGGAGAGATCTTCAGGTCTTGGGTTTGGTGAGGAACTGGCATGGTCCTTGCTGGGTTTATTGGGGTATTAAGGATGGGAGGGACCCCAGAGCTGAGCAGGAAGTTCCTATCCAGGGTGTTTGTGCACTGGAAGAGCTCCCAGGGCAGTGGGCACAGCCTCAAGCCTGACAGAGCTCAAGGAGGATTTGGGCAACACTCTCAGGGACAGGGTGGATTGTTGGGGTGTCCTGTGCAGGGCTCAGTGACCCTTGTGAGCCCCTTCCAACCCAGGATATGCCATGACTCCGTGCTCCCCGTGGGGTTTCCCTCTCTGCAGTGTGCAGTGCGCCTGGCACAGATGGTTGGCTACGTCAGCACGGGCACCGTGGAGTACCTGTACAGTGAGGATGGGAGTTTCCACTTCCTGGAGCTCAACCCACGGCTGCAGGTGGAGCATCCCTGCACGGAGATGGTGGCAGATGTGAACCTCCCAGCTGCACAGCTGCAGGTACCTGTGCTCCTCCAGGGAGGAATTCTGGGCTGGAGCCTGGCAGAAGGAAGCTGTGCCATATACCAGGTGGAAATGTTCCTCCCCCTCTGGCTTCCTGCTGGGACCTCTCCATTCAGACCATCTATCAGTGTCTCCTGGTGCTAATTTTGCTGGTGAAGTCTTGCTCATCTCAAGCCCTTGTTTCTCACACAGATAGCAATGGGCATCCCCTTGCACAGGATAAAGGACATCAGGGTGCTCTATGGGGAGAGCCCCTGGGGTGATACCCCCATCGATTTCCAGAGCCCCACCAACCCCCCCGTGCCCAGGGGCCACGTCATCGCTGCCAGGATCACCAGTGAGAACCCTGAGGAGGTGAGCTGGGGGAAGGAGCATTCAAGCACTGGCCACACACATGGGGATGGGGATACCCTTCCACTCTGGGCATGGTCCTTCCCACCTGGACAACACTGATGGGATCAGTGAGCTCTATGTGCAGTCCAATAAATACCATGAGGGTTTCCCCTTAGAATCATAGAATCATCAAGTCCAACCCTTAATCTGTCACTGCTGGAACTCCTAAACCATATTCTCCAGTGTCTGATGCAGACACCTCTTACACACCTCTAGGGATGGTGACTCCACCACCTGCCTGGGCAATATCCCAGTGCCTGAACACCCTAACAGGGGATAAATTTTTCCTAACATCTAATCATGAGTCTCAACCCTGGTTCCTCCATCCCTGCTCTCTCTTGGCTCAGGGTTTCAAGCCCAGCTCGGGGACGGTGCAGGAGCTGAACTTCCGCAGCAGCAAGAACGTCTGGGGATACTTCAGCGTGGCAGCAGCTGGGGGGCTGCATGAATTCACTGATTCCCAGTTTGGACACTGCTTCTCCTGGGGAGAGAACCGGGAGGAGGCCATCTCGTGAGTCTGGTGGGCTGGGCTGGGGGGTGGGTGTCCTCAGGAAGAGTCCCAGTTGGTGTGTGAGCCAGGAAGAGAGAGGGGCTTTTCTCCAAGAGGACCAGAATGGTGTTGCTGTGCTGAGCAACTGGGCTTGTGCTGCAGGGACTGCTTGACCAAAAGCCAGAGGTTTTTGGACTGTGGTGGTGCTATGACCCCAGTGCATCAACCTGATCCTTAAGGATGTGTTGTAGTGATCTGCTGAGCATTGCTCAGTGCCTGTGAGCAACAGTGTCCACCCAGGAATTGAGCAGCAGTGTCCATTCAGGACTTGAACATGTAACAAGGCTGTCCTGGATGTTTAAGTGTTTTATTAACTCAGTGCTGGCTGTGGGACTGTTTCATCCAGGGCTGTTTTAAGGTCAGGGCTTGGAGCAGCCAGGAATAGTGAAAGGTGTCCCTGCCTATGGCAGGGGGTGGGATGGGATGAGCTTTAAGGTCCCTTCTCACCCAAACCATTCTGAGATTCTATTCTATGAGGGTGCTGAGAGCTTAGGAGCTCATCACCTTGGGAACTCATCACCCTGGTCCCTGCAGTTCCCCACTTCCCTCTGCCTTGCTGGTTGTTAATGGTGGATTTTCTCCCAAAAGGAACATGGTGGTTGCCCTGAAGGAGCTGTCCATCCGTGGGGATTTCCGGACCACGGTGGAGTACCTGATCAAGCTGTTGGAGACAGAAAGCTTCCAGAACAACGAGATACACACAGGCTGGCTGGACCTTCTCATCGCTGAGAAAGTGCAGGTGGGGGTGACCAGGGTCCCCTGGGGTCACTGCTCCTCTCCTGGGTGAGACCCAAGCCCTGTTGTTTTCACCCCCACAGGCAGAGAAGCCAGACATAATGCTGGGGGTTGTCTGTGGTGCCCTGAACGTGGCAGATGCTGCTTTCAGGACGTGCATGACTGACTTCCTGCACACACTGGAGAGGTGAGGAGCAGGGACTGCCTGGTAGAGGCTCAGCTGTGCAGGAGGCACAGGCAATGCATGTCATACAATAGTTTGTGTTGGATGTGACCTTAAAGCTCATCTCATTCCACCCCTGCCATGGGCAGGGACACCTCTCACTAGCCCAGGTTGCTCCAAGCCACATCCAACCTGGCCTGGAACACTCCCAGGGATGGAGCAGTCATGATAAGACCTGAGTGTTGCTCTCCTTGAACCATCTTCCTTCCACTTCTGCTGCAAAAGCTTTGCACATGTGGCTGCAGCAGTGCTGTGACAGCCAGGGACAGGGGCTGTGACTCACAGCTCTGGCTCCTTGCTATCACTTTGTTTGGAGAGCAGAAATGGTTTCCCATGGCTGAGAAAGCAGTTTTCAAGGGGAAGTGGCTTGGCTGATGCAGTTTGCTTTGGTTTTGAATATCAAGGTTATTCCTCCAGCCTTGGAGGACTCCAGGGCTGTGCCCTGCATCTTATCTGAGTGTGTTCCCAGTGCTTGGCCTCACTCCAGGTCTGTTTGTACATGGTGCTCACGTGGGTCACTTACAGCTGACACTGTCCCCTTGGGTCACTGCTGTGCCCTCCCACAGGCTCTGGGAGCCTCACACCCCAACACCAGCAGCACCACTGCCACCCCACATGCTTGGCAAGGCAAGGAGTGCCCTGGTGCCTGACCCTGCTGCTGTGTTTCAGGGGCCAGGTGCTGCCAGCAGCCTCCTTGCTGAACATTGTCGACGTAGAGCTCATCTCTGAGGGCGTGAAGTATGTGCTGCAGGTGAGGCCAGGGCTGTGCTCCCCCTGAGCCAGCCATGGTGCTTCTCACAGGGCCAGGGATGTGCTCCTGCCCTGAGGGAGAAAAGGTGCATTAATATGAGGTTGTCCTTTCAAACTGTGCAGCATAAGAATGAAGTTAATAATCTCATAACCTTAATAACCTCATTTTAACGACACGTTTTCATGCACCCTGTTGCCCCGAGTGTATTAAAGCACTTCCTTTTCTTGCCTAATTAGTTTGACTTCATGCAAAAACTCCCTACTCACAGTGAAAGCTGCAGGTGAGCCGTGAATTTCAGCAGCTCTGGGCTGTGAGCTAAACCAGTTCTGGGAGTTTGTGAGTTGAACCAGCTCTGGGCTGTGAGTTGAACCAGCTCTGGGTTTTGAGTTGAATCAGCTTCGAACTGAGTTGAACTAGCTCCAGGTCGAGTTAAACCAGCTCTGAGCTGTGAATTAAACTAGCTCTGCACTGTGAACTGAGTTGAACCAGCTCTGGCCTGGGAATTAAATAGGTTCCAAGCTATGAATTGAAGCAGCTCCTTGGTACAACCTGAGGTTGCTTCCTCCTTCCCTCCTGTGTGACACCAACCCTTGCACCAAGCACAGGGAAATGCTCCTCACCCCTCACCACCCCTCCACCCCCCATGCCACCCTCTGTGGTGCTTTGGGGTTGCCCTGAGGGGTCCCCCCCGGCCGTAGGTCGCGCGCCTGTCGCTGACGACGTACGTGATCATCATGAACCGCACGCACATCGAGATCGACGTGCACCGGCTCAACGACGGCGGATTGCTGCTCTCCTACGACGGCTGCAGCTACACCACCTACATCAAGGAGGAGATCGACAGGTACCTCCCCACAGGGCTCCCATCACCCCTCCCTGCTGGCCACCATCCTGCTGCTGACACCTCTCCCTCTCCCCAAGGTACCGCATCACCATCGGCAACAAGACGTGCACCTTCGAGAAGGAGAAGGACCCGACGATGCTGCGCTCGCCCTCCGCGGGGAAACTGCTGCAGTACATGGTGGAAGATGGTGGCCACGTGGATGAGGGGAAGGTTTATGCAGAGATTGAGGTGAGTTGTGTGGAAGAACCAGGAGGAGCAACGTTCCTGCAGCGCTGGGAAATGGCAAAGATGCAACCCGCTGACATAGCTGTGATGCTTGTGGCACTGGAATAGATTGCCCAGGGAGGTGGTGGAGTCACCATCCCTGGAGGGGTTTAAGAGGTGTCTGCACCTGGTGCTGAGCTAGATGGTTTAGGGGTTGCAGCTGTGACAGGCTAATGGTTGGACTGGATGATCTTAGAGGTCTCCTCCAGCCTTGATGATTCTATGATTCTGTCTTGAGAAGAAGCTCAGGGGTGACCTCATGGCTCTCTACAACTCCCTGACAAGGCTTGGAGAGAGGTGTGGGATGTCTGTGCTGCCAGGGCTGCAGGGAGAGGACTAAAGGGAATGGCCTTGAGCTGAGACAGGGTGGAGTCAGATTGGCTGTCAGGTGAAATGTTTTCCCTGTGGGGGTGTTGAGGCACTGGGATATTGCCCAGGGAGGTGGTGGAGTCACCATCCCTGGAGGGGTTTAAGGGGTGTCAGGATCTGGTGCTGAAATGGGTTTACGGGTTACAGCAGTGACAGGTTAATGTTGGGCTTGATGATCTTAGAGGTATCTTCTAACCTTGATGATTCCATGATTCTATGCCCAGGGAGGTGGTGGAATCACCATCCTAGAGGTGTTTAGGTTTAGGGGTTCCAGTAGTGACAGGTTGACAGTTGACCTTGATGACTTTAAAGCTCTCTTCCAACCTTGATGGTTCCAAGATCTGCAGCCTGTGGGTGCTGCTGGCTGGGTGACAGCCTCCCCTACCCTCTGCAGGTGATGAAGATCATCATGACCCTGACAGTGGAGGAGGCTGGGCGGGTGCACTACCTGAAGCGCCCGGGCGCGCTGCTGGAGTCAGGCTGCGTCATCGCCCGCCTCGAGCTCGATGACCCCACCAAAGTGAAACCTGTGAGTCTGCTGGGGACCTGCTGGCCCCTCCTGCCTGTCCCCATGGGCCACTGGGGTTGCTTAC